CACAGTATTTCCAGTGTGTTGGTGTTCTGAAACAAGGTTCTTTTGGAGCAAAGTCATAGTGGCTCTGGTGTCTCTCAGACCAGTTACTGCTTTGCCATTTAGTTTAACGGTCTGTCTGTGCTGTTGACGGTTATCCTGCTGCGCTGCTTGTACTGGATCCGCCTCATGTAGTATACCCCAAAATTCCTCCTGCTCAAGACAGTGAGCGGAAGGTTGAGGTGGCTGCTGATTTCCGCCGGCTGGTCTTCTCCACGACTGGGCTTGGCTTGAATTGTTTGATGGGCACTCGGGTCGCTTGTGCCCCAACTGCTTACACCCATAGCAACGGATCGGCTGTGAGTAATCCCGGGCGTTGAACCGGGCTGGCTGAACGTAATTGTTCGCTGTTGGCATGGTGGGGGTGCGTTGTGCTGGGTGTTGATACACTGCAGAGGTTGAAGGGGCTGCTGGTTTGTACTCCACTCGGGTAGGGACCTTGGCTGCCGTCTGGTCCAGTTTCCTGGCATCAGTGTACTCATCAGCCAGACGAGCAGCTTCGGGTAAGGTAGCGGGTTTACGGTCCCTAACCCACTCTCTGACTCCTGCAGGCAAGCGGTCAAAACAGTGCTCCAACAAAAATACTTGCAGCACTTCTTCCCCAGTTACCGCTTGGCACCCTGCCATCCAGTGGGCTGCGGTGCGGTGTACTCGGCATGCCCACTCCACATAAGAATCACCAGCCTGCTTGTTAGTGTCCCGGAATCGCCGCCGGTATGCCTCCGGGGTCACAGCATATCTGGCCAACAGGGCATCTTTCACTGCCCTGTAGCTGGTAAGTTCCTCTTCTGGGATGGCCCGAAACGCCTCACTGGCCCGGCCGGATAACTTCCCAGAGAGGATGGGGACCCATTCTCCTGCGGGTACCTGGTGTAAGGCACATTGCCTTTCAAAATCCGCCAGGAACCCATCGATTTCTCCTTCGGCTTCTACAAAGTTCCGAAATGCAGCAAAAGGTACTTTTCTCCTTCCATTATTATTATTGTAAGGTACCTCAGCTGCTGCAGCGCCTCTTCCTTGAAGCGCCTGTTGTGCTGCTATTGCTGCTTGCACTTGCACCACAATATCTGCTGCGGGGTTGGGGCCAAAATGTGCCAGCCTGATCTGAACTGCCCGGTTAAACTGTATCTCCTCGGGTGTTAACTCCAGTATGCCAGGCACATTCGATCCCCCCGCTCCCTGTGCTGCATCCATTTCCAATAGTATCGAAATAATCTCTCTTTTCTTGAGATTACTCGCTGATCGTCCTCTGCGCTCCAATATATCTTTAAGGGTAGCACGCCTTAACTCCTCATACTGCATTTCCAACCTGGGATGTGTAGTTGGCCTTCTGGGCTGTAGGATTCATCCCGTCGCTTGCCACCAATTGTTACGACACGTACCGTCGGGTAGATGAAGCCGCCGTTTAGGCAATAATCCCCTCCTCCAGAAATGCAGGTTTAAATCCAGCCGATCGCCAAACTCCCGAACGAAGTCCGCGAACACGGCAACTCCCGATCAGCCAAACAGTCGAACGCCTTCCACAGCTAGAAATAATGAAAGCGCTGTCCCAATAATAATTCCCCCCATAAACGAGACCAAGCTCCGTCTTGAGGGTCAAATGAAGATCTGTTTAATGGGGGCTACCTGCCCGGTATTTATGCAGGTCTCCACAAGGTGGACACTCCCCGAGGGGACCTTGTGGAAGACTGTAAAACATGTTGTACAGTAGCCAATCGCAGTGGCTTTAATAATAGCCCTTCCCATCTTGCCCATAATTCCGTCTTCTCTACCTCGGAGATAATTAGGAAGAAACCTAATTATCTCTCAAGGTAGAGACAATCGCCATCTTGAAATACACTAACAAAAATACATTAAAATACATAACGACAGAAATACCGAATGCATATGGTTCGTGTAACGTATCCCCAGACAGCCTGGATCTGAGGGCATGCTTTCACCGAATAGCGCTCAGATCCGATGTATCTAGTCGAATCGCCATGGAGTCAAAGTCTTTCACCAGTCCTTCGGTATACGAATGACTCCATGGGATGGCTGTCGGGGTTAAAGTCCATACGAATGAATAAAACTCCCGAACGACCGACGTTCGCATGCTTTGTCGAAAAGGAAGGTAGGCAGCAGCTTTTCAGCGGTGTTCGGTAGTTTAAGTGTCCGTTTTTAGTTCCATACAGTTTGTACCGAACACCGCTCGGTGTTCGTATGTCCCAAAATGGCCGCTGCCTCGTGGTCGACATGCGAACGACGACCACCCGTACGAATGGAATGGAGAGGTGTCTGCGGTTAACCACAACGTTCTAATTGGGGCCAGGAGGTTAACCAGCAGCACACTCCTCTCCTGGGTGGTCGTTCGCTCGGTAGTTTCAATCGGTATTTTGCAAATTACACGAACGGGGGTATATGAACAGGCAATTCCGCGAACAAAGAGAAATAGACGAACCAACAATGTAGATGAATCTGTCACACCGATCTACCAAGCAATGTCAGTAGTGCATGGTGCAAGGAAAGTGATGCAGGACCCTGCACGGCACATATCGATACCTGTTCCACATCAAAACGCGAAACGAGCACTTGAACCGGCCATGAGGCCTAAACAGGAGCGGAGCCTAAAGCCTGGGGGAGGCGGCCGATCGCCCGCAAGGGAACCGCTCATAAGCATGAATCAAACGCTGCCCTGCTACCCCCCCTCTGGACCGGCGGGGGATATCTGGTCCATGCTGGGGGTATCCACCCCCACAAAACTACGCAAACAAGTGACAAAAACTGCGGTGAGACGAAACTGCCAGGGTTCAGGCAAGATGGCGCCACTGGCACAGCCGGCGATGCAACACACCCGTTTAAAGCCATCCAAGCATACCTTGGACTTCTTTGACCAGCTCTGCACAAGCCTCTGGATGAAGCTCAGTGCCAAAGGTCATGCCTTCAGGATAGCAAGGGGACTGGCGGCGGCAGTCCGGCGACACCTGTGTGGATTCCCGCCAAGTACCACTAGGGCGGCCTCCAGACGGCGCCGACAAACAAGATGGCGGGAAAAGGCAACATGTCCCGCGGGTGATAGCACTCACTTCCAAACACACCAGGGCAAGACCAGCCAGCATACCCAAGCGGTTTACCACACAGACCTCAGAGACTTCCGACCTCCATGCTAACCTCACCAACCCCCGAACCCCAGCCTGCGACAGCAAGACTCACAAGAATGGTGAACACCACACATGGGACTCGGGAAGGGTCCGGCGAGAAGAACAACCAAAGGCCTTAACCCTTTGTACGCTGGCAATCGAGGGAGACAGACACCTGTACACCTGCAGCTTTCCACTACAGGGCATAGGCTGAGCAGTCTGCAGGGATGCTCACAGCACGCACAGGACACAGGTCCTTTTGTGTTTAAACTGTTAACTGCAAATAGCCTGATTATAAACAGAGTTCTACCACTGCCTACTTAACCTGATGTATATTAGTCACAGCCAGGCCCGGACTGGCCATCGGGCACACCGGGCAAATGCCCGGTGGGCCGCGGTGGCCATGGGCCGAGGCCGGCAGGGGAGATCACAGGATCTCCCCTGCCGGTCTATGCAGGGCCGGCACTCTCCTAGCGCCGGCCCCGCTGTTTGTCACGACGGGCCGGTGGGGGGATCAAGGATCTCCCTGACCGGCCCACATGCGGCCGCCGGCGGGGAGGGAGGGAGGGAGGGAGGGAGACAGCCAGCCAGCCAGCCTGGAGAGAGGACCCGGCGGAGCTCTAACTTGCAGCTCCGCCGGGTTCCTCTCGCGAGATCCGGCGCGTTGCCATGGCAACGACCGGATCTCACGAGAGTGAACTCTAGCCTCACAGGCTAGAGTTCACTCACCCACGAGGACCACCAGGGAACACTGCCACCCCGCCTTCCAGCGTGCCGGACCCCCCTCCCAGGCTAAAGGTAAGAAGGGAGGGGGGGAAATAATGACTTTTTTATTTTTTTTATTTACCCCCCCCTACACACACACAATAACATTTATACAGCACTCTCACACCCATCACACACAGCACTCTCTCCCACATCACACACAGCACTCTCTCCCACAGCACTCTCACACCCATCACACACAGCACTCTCTCCCACAGCACTCTCACACCCATCACACACAGCACTCTCTCCCACAGCACTCTCTCCCACAGCACTCTCTCCCACAGCACTCTCACCCATAGCACTCTCTCCCACAGCACTCTCTCCCATCACACACAGCACTCTCACACACATTACACACAGCACTCTCTCACACAGCACTCTCACACCCATCACACACAGCACTCTCTCACACAGCACTCTCACACCCATCACACACAGCACTCTCACACCCATCACTCACACCCAGCACTCTCTTACCCATCACACACAGCACTCTCACACCCAGCACTCTCACACCATCACACACAGTGCACTCTCACAGAGCACTCACACACACACAGCACTCTCACACCCATCACACACAGCACTTTCACACACACACAGCACTCTCTCACAGCACTCTCACACAGCACTCTCTCACACCCATCTCACACAGCACTCACACACCCATCACTCACACACGGCACTCTCACACCCATCACTCACACACGGCACTCTCACACACATCACTCACACACGGCACTCTCACACACATCACACACATCACACACACACCGCACCCTCACACACACACATACACCGCACCCTCACACACACACATACACCGCACCCTCACACACACACATACTGCACCCCTCACATACACACAGAACCCCCCCAACACACATACACAATACTTCCAAATATATATATATATATATATATATACATACACAC